GTCTGGCGAAGATCTAGCTAGTATTTGAGCGCAGCCAAACCCTCCCGTGGGGAATTGATGTGTAAAGCATTTTCACATCCAAGATGAAGCGAAAGTTGGTTTAGCCTGGGAATTCAAATTCATCGAACAGACGTAGAATTGACATAGCTGGGGAGCGTTTTAGCAATGGGTGTTAGAATGGTGTCAAGGAAGTTGGATATCAATTCAGTGGGACATCTACATGCAGACACAATGGGGCGGCCTGGATTTCCGGATTAGCGAATTTCGGGTAGTAAGTAGAAGACTGCCGTGCGTGGGTTGGTCACTAGTGCTGGCAAAAATTCCTTGCTGCTCTTTTGTACGGTCCCGGTCACCCTTAAGGTAAGACGTAACGTCAGAGAGTTAACGTTCTGCTTCAGCGACATACAAGTCCTTACTCCTACTACCGTAGCATCACCCTTGTCCGCTCTTTTAATAACGATGGTTACATCGTTCTTAAGACACCCGTTGCTTCGCGTTCAGTCGATGAAGTGTCGATGAATTTGAATTTCAGGCGTTTGATTTCCGCACAGCAGTTTTCAGTGATGCAGTCGAGGGTTTTGTTGAGACCAGAGGCGGGACGGGACACCAGGTGGACCATGGTGGGCGCAAGCTAAGTAATGACCTTAGACGAGGTTTCATTCTCAGTACACATACCCGAATCAGAACGAACTGACCTGGAGTCCTTGTCGTGGAAGAAGGCTGGCAAACGTAAACGACGAAAGAACTGCTTGACGTCCTGACGGGTAGTGAACTCGTCCTATCGGTTCGTCAGTGGGATGAACTTCAGTCCACGCTCGAGGACAGAACGTTGGCCATCGGCTGGGGGAGATCTGGTGGAATGGTAACTACCAAACTCTCTTGATCGTGGATATAGGTGTATAATGATATTTGTCTGATTTGAGCTTGGGGTAGTTGATTTTCTTGGTTTTGGTTGCTTCGAGAGCCATGTGAAGTTCGTGATTGAGGTCGTGATCTATGCCCCTGATGATACGGCCATCAGGACATCATAAAGATGTTGTCGGTACCACTCAATGGTGTTGCTCGATTTGATGGGATTTTCTAAAGAAAAACTGAACAAAGCCAGAAAACCTGAGAGAAAATGATCAAAACCGCAACCCAATACACTTTCAATGGCCAAGGTCATTTGTGCACATGCCTTCATAATTATGAATTCATTAGTGAAAAGGTCTATAGCAGATTTAGTTATTATTACAAAAGGAACCATTCACACGCAAATATTTGTACGAGACTTCAGTGACAATGTACGATGCGAGAATCGCAGCAAACGGTGAAACGTAACGACGAAACTTTAAAAATATTGACCGACTGTCGCTTGAGTGTTACCGAACTGCGCATTCACATTTTTAAAAAGCTATCGGGCATGTAATCCAATCTTTACAATGGAGATCCACAGAGATCATATAAGTCTTACGATTTCTGTGTGGAGATCAATGAATAGGACAGAGCGCCCTCCATTTTTTCAAGCACACGTTTTATCTGTGAGGGTTTGAAAGTTTGAAATGCAGTTGTCACGCCAAACCGGCGCGCACGAGTAATTTAGTCTGGCTGAAGAGTTTTTGCTCCAATTTATCTCTTTTTTATGAAAGAGAAAAATTGTTGAGCAAATGTTCGGATTTGAGCAGCCGTCAGATGCCCTCGGTCCAGACTATTGGTGGAAAACTCATTCCGATCGCAATAGGCCGAACCAATGTGAAAGTGATTTCGAATACACAGCAGGAGTTTTATTTATTTGATTTTGACAATGCAATGGTTGTCCGAAATATATAAGCCTATTTTCAGTGATCGGTTTCTGGTCAAATTTTCGAACCTATTTCTTTATTGCTACTATGATGTGGTTTTTTGGGGGGGTTGTTTTTTTTAACTATTCAGTTTATATGACCTCAGTTTATAAAGTGTATTGTGATTTCATTGATTTTTTTTTCATTTGTTTATCCTTATGCATATACATTTCCAAGACAAAATAATTCGTGGAAGCCATGATGACATATTTGTTCAGAACACTACCTATAAGAATACGTCCATGGGGTCGTGTCAGGAGCAGTTCAATCAGGGTTTTTTTAATCGGTTTATCTGTTATTATTTAATTTTGTTTATAAAAGGTATTGTTGCTAAGTTTTGTTTGTTCAACAAACTTTGAGTGACATCAATGGATTTCGATTTTAATGAGCAATTTTTCACGTTGGGGAATAACTTGAATCAAACTAATCTTGCTGATGAATAATGTCCTCAATACTGCCCGCTCATTGTAGGCCTATATAAGTTTGCAAGTAAAACATACTGCTCGTTTTTACTCTCTGAAGATTCTGTAATTGTACCTATACTTTCCGTCAGTTCTGAAAATATGCATCTTTATCACGTAACAATTACTTGGTGAATAAATTTCAATATTTGGAGTGGTTGTCTTTATAAATCTGCAGTTTTTAATTAAAGTATATGAAGACAAAAACCTTTAGCGTGATACAATGTGCCTTTTGTATTACATGTCAGGGGCTACCAATATGTACTGTGAAGTCAAATTGCTTTGCTTTTCGTTGTTTCGTTGCTTTGACGAGAGATAAAATAACAAAAACAACAGTCCATGATGAAATTCCTCTGTATATTGTCCCGCGTCTATGTTTTTGTTTATTATTTGCAAATGAGTTTATACAAAAATTAAACGGTCATCGGCTCTTTTCATTAATTTGTAAACTTTGAACCGAGTGAAAGCGCCTTTCCACTTCCTCCAAGCGTTGCGTATGCCTATCCATCAAAATCGCTCCCGGGGCAATTTTGTCGGCCCAACGCGACGCACGGTGTGTTAAGTTATTTTTTGACGTACGTGAAAGTAAAACGCACGAATGCATCGCATACGCAACGCACCAAAAAAAGTACATAAGGAAAGGCGCGAGATTGCACTTATTCACCAAGTGAATTCATTCTACTGCATTATTGTAAAACATAGGAAGTACTTTAATTTATATAGTTCTGAATTTTCAGGAAAAATAAGAATAGAAAACATCCCCATGAATATCCAATACGAGCTAATTTTGTGTCTGCAATCTGTCGCATTGTAACACCCCCCTTCTTTTCGTCACATCACTTAAACATTTTTGTTAAAAGATATTTCCCAGCTAAGCAGTGGCTTGTCCTGCGGGGAGGGGGCAAAGAAATACTTTATAAAGGGTGAGTAGGAAAGAAAGTATTCAGTATATTTATTTATCAATTAGCACCAACACCCTAAAAAAAACTACTAACAACTAGTTAGTAACTGTTGTTTGGTATTACCACTGGCCGATATCTGCGCCTTGTGAAGTACAGACATTCTGCTATTTTTACCGACTTGTCTTTCTGTCTCATTAAATTCCAAAGAAATGCTTAAGTTCAATATTCTTCTTTATTGTAATCATCCCAATTGAATTCTATACAATAATTGAAAAATTTTTGGCCCAATGACCTAGTGTTTGTTCATTGCACGAACACTTCCCTTCTGGGTATTACGGCATAGAGCAAGGAAGATTAAGCACAAATGAACACAGCCATTAACGGCCTCCAAAGTCATTTTACCAAACAAGGACACGAAGTCCTTGTCACTTTTTATTTGTACATTATCGGGAAGAACGTTTTGCACGAAGAAGTAGTTACTTAGTTCTTTACTTACTTAGTTTACTGAGATTAGATCCCCCTTTCATCAAGCCAATACTTACATCAAAAAGCACATTTGAAAGCAGTTGGCGTATGGTGTACACAGAATAAAAAAGACTAGATTGGCAGTGGGTACACGCGGTCTACCATGGAGGGTCACGTGCCCGAGAAAAGACATTAAAAATGCACACTAAATGTGACGACGGCAAGATGACGTTAAGCCTTAGCACTCTACAACACAACAACGGTGGAAGCATAGTTTGCATTTAGCGCCTTGCAGCGGCGGTCTGCTATAATCTTTGGTTTGCACGTATGCTTTATAGAACAAAAAAGGCAACCAACCTCCCCGTGCAAATGTTAGGTTTGGTACCAAGTCGATAACTGGCGTGGTGAAAAATGTCCAAGAACTCAATATACCAGATTTTATTCAAATTTAAGTTACAAAAGGCTATTATATTCAATTTTAGTGTTATGAAAATTGCTCCCAAACTCCAAGGAAGCAATCTGATTGATTTAGATTCCAGATGAAAATACATAATTTATGAGCAATCTTATACAGCCGTCACTCTAGGCCATCACTCGATCTGTGTGCGATAAACAAATACAAATTAGCGATTCAAAAGGGACCAAAAGTAGATGGTCTTCACTAGATAGTCTGCTATTAAAATAGAGGGGATCGGTGCTGTAAATCCCGTGCAATTTTAAGGTTAAAGCAAATATTCTAAACAAAAAGGTTTCAATGTACATGAACGTACACTTCAATTGTCAACGTGCGTGCTGACCGTCATGCACCAACCTATACCGAAAACAGTATCCTTACACGTATTATCTTCGATGGTTTGTAAGCTCTTTGTTGTGTAACATTAACAATACATATGGCATAATTATGAGTAAAATCATGTAGTTTACAGCGATACGTTTTATTTCCATTCACAGTTTACCTATATGAGTCGAGTGATTGTTAATCATCGCCAGATCTGCAAGTTATGCCCAACGGTTTGAACAGATATACCCTTTTAACTAATGGACTAATCTTCTTATTTGCAAAGCTTTGTGCATTGAATCTTACACTGCAGAAAGATAAGGTATCGTATGACAGGCATATATATATAACGGTGCTTGAGAGTAACCGTCAAGTCGTTAGATTAGTCGGAACTGGCCATTAATGTAAGCAATCAAACTACAGCAGCACCAATGGAGTTGACGTAAGTTCACAGACAGAACACGCAGGAGGAATGCGTGTCTTTTAACATCGGCTTTCGCTTCTCGGGGAAATCTTTCATTCCTCGAATACAGTAAAGCTTTAGTAGTTTGGACTGAAAAACTATGTTTTTACGATGGAGAGTTTTCTGTGGCCTCTGTTAATCTTCCATGCCATCGTAGGCATTGTTGGTTTACCAGGCAATGCTCTCATCATATTGGTGTATGGCAAGAAACGACAATTAATGAGCCCACACGTCTTCATCCTCGCCTTGGCTGTAGCGGACCTGATCATCTGCCTCTTCACTCCCATAACCATCTACCACTGGTACATCAAACTCAACTACACCAGTGACTTTTTGTGCCGTCTCGTTGTCAGTGTGACTTTTATCACCGTCTACAACTCTTGTTTCTTGACATCTGCAATAGCTGTAGACCGATACCAGGCCATATGCCGACCGCACCGGCGCTGGATGACGGTCCAGCGTGCCAAATATGCAGCTTTGCTCTGTCTGGTCTTGGCAATGTTCTGCGCTGTGCCGGTATTTGCGTCATACCATGTCCAACGTGAAGGTGAGTCTCAGACTGGCATTTGCACCATCAGCACCAAAGTTCCGAGTTGGGTGAAGTACCTGAAGTTCTCAGTCACCTACGTCGCCCCCGTTTCCTCAATTGTCACAAATACCATCTTGTATGCCAAGATCTACTTTGCTATTCGAAAGCAAGCCGCAGTTCGGCCAGGCGCAGTGCCCTCAAACAAGGTGGTGACAGAAACGACCCCTCCGCAACCCAATCAAGAATTACAAGGAACAGTGTCCTACATTGGCATTCAATCTGAACGTTACATAGACGGTCCTTGCACCACAAAGCACTCAAACGTAATTCCTAACTTTAAGGGTGCCTTGACACATCAACACCAAAACAACCAAACTGATGGACCACCGCCCAAGACCAACCGCCATACTAATGATGTCACTGAAGTTGCACTTAATGACCCCAATAAAAATCATCAATATGCGTCCGCCAAGTTTAACGGTAAGACAACCAAGATGCTAGTTATCACTACTGTGGTCTACTTTTCCACCTGGTTGCTGGGCATCAGCCTCATGTCTATACCTAGACACACCCAGAATTACATACTTGAGCACGACGAGGTTGGCGCTGCTTTCTTCCATACGTTTAGTTTCGTATTCTATGTAAACAACGCTGTCAATCCGTTCATCTACGGATTTGTCAACAGTCGATTTCGACAGGAGTGTAAGGAGACAATGAAAACTGTTCGGTGCCACAGTACCTGAAGTCCGTACTTGCATTCGATTTCAAATGTATATTGAATTCAAATACTGATCGCACATTTTCAAAAATACAAACAATGTTATTCAAAAAGCAATGGTGTCTAAACCATGCAATTAAATTAAAAGTTATTTTAATTTCGTAACCATGAAGGTTGCAGATCAATGTTATGTTTCATTCTTTCATTTTTCTTCCCTTTCAATTCATGAATACCTTTTTTTCTGTCGAGTTTATTTTCTCAGAAATATACTAGAATCATATCAAGTTGCACAAGAAAGCAACACAAGGAAACTTAGGTCATTGATTTTTTCTGTACATTGTTATGTTTGTTTATTCTCCATTTTCATTTCTTTCAAGTCTAAAACGTTTATGGAAATATTTTCACCTTTGCTGTTGATATGATGTGCAGATTATTGGTTCTTTAGGGTGCAATTCAAAGGAAGACTTATAGGCATACACAATATTCATTTACTTTGGAAAAGTCCTGATAAGATTGTTAAAAGAAGAATTTAATCTCTGAACGCGGCTATTCATCAAGAGTTTAGATGACTTTGATTTAAAGACAGAATTTTCAGTCAATTAAAAAAAAAAACCTTTAGTAAAATAGCGTACATTGCCCCACACTCAACTCTTTTGAGGGCCTACATTTCAAAGTTTGACCCAGAATCACCATTCTGTGTCTCGCGGCTGACTGTTGGAATTGCAGTTTGCGGCATGTAGTGTTTGGGGAACTGATAGAAAGCAGATAGTACACTTCAAGAATTCAATCTTTTTTTTTTCTTTCCGACCGCAAATTTTGATAACGCAATGGTTTTTTTTCAAAAACGCGTAACGCCCCGCCCCAGCACCTAAAACGGACCTGCATCTCCGAGATTAAGTCACAAGTTGTTTTGACCAAACTGGTAAACTGACGAAGCCCTATTGACTCGAGAGATTGTTATGGCAGGCATCCAGATTACAAATTCACTCCAATTGCTGTTCTGTCGAAATTTACATTGTAATTTGTGTTCACTGCCTACAGCCCTATTGTAAGAACACAGTCAGATTCTGGAGTGCCAGAAAGCAAAAAGTAAACACGAGACGGGGGCACTTGCCCAACCTCAAACAGTCTGTGTCCTCCCCCTTTGGAATTTTACTTGTGCGTTTAAACATACCAGGCGCCCTTTTACGCTTTTTTTCTTTGCTTTCAGTTTCGGTTTTTTTTTTTTTTTTGGTACTCTCCCCTTTCCCTTTCTTTCCACTCCTTAAACGAGCGTGTGGAAAAGCGATCCTGCCTAGGCTGGTGTTGCTAGGGTTAAAGTACTCCCCCCCCAAAAAAAAGAAAAAGGGGTATTTTAAAGTAGCGAAAATAGAAAAGAGAATCTCAAAGAAAGGAATAGCAATTGTGTGTTCCTAATTCCTCAGGACTGACCCCTTGCATTGTTAATGGTTAAAATCTCCTTTCTTTAGTGCTTTGCCGAACAAGAGCATTTCTCTGTAAAAGCTTAATTTGTTAACAACAGAAGAGAGTCGGATTGGGTGCCACTAACCATATGCCCATGGTTGTCGCCAGGATTTTTTTCCAGTGCGGGAAAGCATGAGTTTCTGGGGAAAAATACCATGGGGCAAAGCACTCACTGGCAGCGAACTGATCAACTTTCAACAGTGAAAAGGGGTCCATTTTCTCAAGCAAACCTGGGATTTCCATACCCCTTTAATCCCTCTTCTTTATTTCATTAGCGTTTTGCTCACCCCAATCCTTTTTTTTTCTTTATTTTTCCGGGGGCCCCACCCCTTGTTTTTCAGTCTAGCTTATAGTGGTCAAAACACTTTAAAGACCACCGAAGTACGAAACAAAACTTGCTTACTCAAAATACTATTATTACGTACTTATCACCAAAATTCTGTTTATGAACCAAAACGTACCATAACTTATGCCATAACTTATTTTTTACGTTATTACACTGTGTTGTTTACTCTGTCTATTTCATTTTTAGTTTGATTTCAAATTACTCTCATTTACGTATGCCTACAACCATCTACTTTCTAAATTTGGACATTGTTTAAACTACTTAACTAGTGGATATTATGTGCTATTGCTAAGCATTGATTTAGTGCGTACCGGTACATCATTAATGTTGCCTAATAATGTATAATGTTTAATAATTTTATTTAGTCAATTGACTAAAACAATAGTCATGCACGCAGTCGTATTTGACTAGTCATCAGATTGTCAAGCATGCATAACTTTGACTAATTGTAATTATCGACTAATATCTCAAGTGATCGGCAATACATGAAAATTAATGCAGGAAAATTAATAAGTAATGTAGGAAAATTAATTAGTAATGCAAGAAAATTATTTTATTATTCTGACTGATTGGAATTGTCAAGTGATGTGACTATGTTGATTGGTCACATTACATGCCACTTTCACGGTTTAATCACACTTAAAATAACAGTCTTAAAACAAGATTGCAACTGACATTGTCATTGTCAATTGCTGATTAGCATGAAACAAACAAAAATTGTAAAATCAAATGAAATTGTGACCTGCACTCTCTACAGTTCCTTAGAGTATACTCTTTTTTCAAGATACAAGTAATATTGTCTGATAAGAGATATTGAGATGAGAGATGGACTGTGTCTGGAAGATGTAGAAGTTTGAACTTATCTGCTTTTTATTGGTTTGTTTTTTAGCACGAAATAGAAAGTATGCATTTTCATTTACCTATAATAGACCTTGTTTTTGTCAAATTGTTGACGCATATATAATGTTTAAGAACTATGTAAATGGATACACAAATGAAAAGAAAAAATAATAACTTTCAAGATGTATTTTAATGCTTGTTTAATGTTATAGACCTATGTTAAACAGGCACACAAAAGTGTTATCACTTAATGGTCAAATTAATTTTAAGCATCAAAGTTGATAGTAGATTGTACCCTGTGTTCATTTTAAGTGTTTAGAACAAGGGGTAGCAATGTTGTATGGTGGCTTCCTGTTACACCGCATTTGCATTACATGTACAGGCACATATACTTTGATTGGGAGGCATTTCATTCACGGAAACCCATTGAAAACTTTGTGACAAAATTGGGTCCTCTCATCCAGAAAACAGCCAACCAGGAGAGCAGCAAACTGTTGACCAATGGTGAAGACGGTTTGGAGGGGCAACCAACCAATCACAGATTTTGTTCTTTGATACTTTGCAAGGCCTGGCCAGTGAGAAGTTGGGTTGGTTCTTTTCTCTTTGAGGCGGGAAGGAAAAAATGTCGTGTCGTTTTTGTCTCAGCTTATAAAGGAGCAACAGCTACAGTCAGATTCTTGTACAAATTTTTCCCACTACCTTTCCATTCCTCCTCCTATAAACCCCCATGGTTTACGAACGATTTGTTACTCTTGACATTATTAAATTTTAAATAATACATAGATGAGATAAAGTTCATTGTGATGAATTACGTAATTAACGTAATGAAGTAGTTAGTGTCCAATGGTTGCTGTAACCATGTCTTCCCTTGAGTAAGTGCAACCGGGGAGGATAAACCATTCTTTTTTTCTGTAAGTGCAAACGAAGAAAGAATGGTGTCTGTAAACTCATTTGTTGACTCTGCATATATACATAGTAATTATTACGGCTTGGTGAAGTTTTGAAGTGTTCTGGTACTGTCCTAACGAATTGTCGCTTCGGCCTATCATAAAGTCATTGTCATTGAGCTGTGGTGCTCCAAGTCAAATGGTGCTTAGAGCTGTTCGTGCTTTTTGGCCTTGGTGGGAGTCCAAACAGTGAATAATGATTAACATGGCATTCCAAGTCAAATGGTGCTTGGAACTTTGGGCACTTTAGGCCTTTGCGGTTGCTCCAAGAATTCACATAGAATGGACGCTCCGAGTCAAATGGTGCTTTGAGCTATGTTTCTGGGCCTTTGTGGGCGCCCAAAGTTATGCATATTGATAAAATGTGCTGCATGCAGGACGAGTCGGCTGCCCAGATCTCGGTACCCGACACATAATAATGGATAAACTTCTTCCTGCTGAGGCGTGCACACACACAACAGTATTTCTGTCTTTGTGTGTATTTATAGACTTCATGTTTTACAAAATTACTAACTCTTGGTAGAGGAAAGTGAAGTGGAAGAAGCGCATACTAGTCCCTTATGTGTGACTCCTGGCACATTTCCGACATTAAGGATCCATGAAATGACTTTTTCCTAAAATCACTTTTTGTTTATCTCTGTACTCTTCTTCCATGTAGACTGTTTGACTTTTCTTTTTTTTTTTGAGTTACGTGAACTGAAAGGTGCACTTTTTTAAATATTCAACATTGACAGAGCATTTCTGGACAAGTGAGGCGCCTCTGCTTTGATGTAGATGCAGGAACACATGGTTCGAGTTGCATGTTTTCGTGTTCAAATTGTAAACTCTAAATTTGCAATCTGGGAACATTTCTTTGAAAAGGATGGTTGCGGCCCTAACCATAGCAGTGTTTAAAAAATCTGAAAACTTTCTGTGCAAAAATCGGTGCCACATTGAGATTCAGTGTCTTGGATAACATCAATGTTCTGCTCATGAATTTGCAAATGTGCATTTAGCTTAAAAACCAATTAAGTTCCAAAGTATGGGTTAAAATTGCAAAACACAAATTTCAAATAAGGTTAATTGAAACCCAAAGATGCAACTTCAAGGTTTTTAGTAAAATTTATAAAAATATTTCTATTCCATGGTTCCTTGAAGTGCACGCGTATCGTACTCAATATCTCAAAGGGGGAAAGATGAAAGCATAACAATGGACAACAAGGTGACATACGCGAAAAAAAGCGAGAAGAGGATGACAATAACTCAAAATTGACTCTTTTGTATCATTTATTTCTGCTAAATGTCTTTTCCCGGGGAAAAACCTTGCCCCCTGGACAAAATTCTTGGCAATGACCATTCCCAAGGTTTATGAAAGTTGATATTTGTTGGTCAAAAGAGCGTCAAAAGTAGACAACCTCATTTCCTCATGTTCTTTAAGTAGATTTTCGGGATTTTGGACTTTGCCAAACTAAGTAAATTCTCAATTTTTGCTAGCAGA